TGCCCTTGGATTGATTTTTACAGGTCCTCCCTGGCTCCAGTGAGTCCTTGCAGGTGTAAGAGCTCTCAGGACTGCCCCTTAGGGGCGGATGCTCTTTGCTAATTGGTGGTGAAATTACTGGGATAAACGAAGCACCGCTTATCAGCAACTTGCAGTTCATCAACCTGGATGCCAAAATTATCACCTTAGCCTTTACGGAGTGTGAAAATTACTGCTCCGTGGCATAACTACTCATGGCTGTAGTCAAACAGAATAAAAAAGGTAAAGAAGCTTTAAAAGGAGATTTTCTCCCTGCAGCGGTTGAAGAGGGCATGATCAGAGAGGTCACAAATAACATGCAAGGGAAGGAACTGTGGCTACGTTCTGAAGATGAGATAGCATAAAACCTGCATGCTGTTCAGGAGGTCACTTTCAGTGACGAGTTGGAGGCTAAGAGCCAAGAAAATAACTGCATGCCTGCCCAGGTCTCATTCTTCCCTGGGTATGTACTTACAGCTGTCTTGGAGGCGGATAGTGACCCAGCTAGGTCCTTGGGCTGACCCGATACTGCTGTTCTTACCTTCAGCCGTGACATACATCCTGTTGAATAAAAAACACAAGATGTTTTTGACTCAGTTTCTGGTACTTGAGCTCCAGTGAATCAGTTTAAATCCTCCTGTATGATATCAAGCCAGCCAATTCCTGCAAGAACGAAACAGATTTCTTCATAAATAGTGCTCTAGTAATGGGAAGGTTCAACCTAGTAAATTCTAATTGGGAAAGTGTAACAGGCATGGCTGAGCTCCCTGATGAAACTGTATTGTACTACAAGAGAGAATGAAAGGTAACGTGCCTAAGGTAAGCAGAAACTTGTCAGACCCATGAGCTGGAACAAGATCTCTGACCCTCAGCCCAGTGCATTAGCCGCAAGATGTACGTTCCTCTTGAAGGCCTCTGAGGAAATGCAGTGTGGGGATGCTTCAGTCAGTGTAAGTAGTTAAGTCAATGATACATGTATATAAAATACCATCTTTACACTTGCAATGCTAATTTGACTATATAATCATCATAACTCTTCAGAGTCAAAATTCATCTATGAATATATTTTTAAGAGTTCTTGAGAAGGTAATTACTGTATTCAAGGAAAAAGTCTAATATTTTAAAAGAAAATTATGTGAAATTTGTATTGTATTCCTACTGGGCATGCACTTAACATAGACTGTGTGGGCATGAGATGAAAGGAAGAATATGTTTGCATTGTAGTTGATCTAAAAAGACCGTCTCTTGAGAGTTATGGTTGCGGTGAATGTGTCTTCCGGTCCTTTTCTTTAAAGAGAATTTGACAGGAATAATCAATAAATGATCCCCTTTGGCCCAATTCACAGTGATCTGATCTGATCTGATGGGGTGGTTTTAATTTCCAAACTATCCAGCACTACATGCAGAGTTCCTGCAGATTCAATGATGGTAATGGTTTGAACTTAGGCTGCTTGAAGGAGGATAAGATGAGTAAAATTTCTGAAGCCATACCAAGAACTTCAGTTGAACCTGTTGCTGTTCTGGAGGACCAAAAAGCACTTGCAGATCTGCAGCATCAGTGCTGAAGCAGCCGAGCCATGAGTCTGTATAGATCAGTCAAGTAAAAAGAAGATAGTTTTACCTCGTTCATTCATTTTCATCTTTATATTCTTCGAAGTAAAGTGCTTATATTTAGACATTCTTAAAAATACTCTGCTTTGGCAATTCCTGCTGTTATTTTCTGTTAAAAGGAAAGGGACTTTGGAGAGTTAGGTAGAGAAGTACAGTGTACAATAGAGTAGTGAATTCTAGAGCATTAAAGTTTTGCGTAAATTTGGTTTTGTGAAGTTTCAGTAGGATGTTGACAGGGTATGCATCTCGTCAGCTCTTATGTAGATAAAAGTCAACTGGCTTGCAGACTATGTTAATGATGGTATTTTAGGGACTACAGAGTGTGACAAATAGAAAGCAGTTTGGCTTCCAGAGTTAAGTGTTAAGCAACTTGGATTATTAATGAAAATTCAGCAGAGAACACCACACTTTTTAGCTGCTGTCTTAGTCAAACTTGAATGCTAGTAACTGCATGACTCTCTCTTCTTTGAGAGAGGCTTTTCAAGTTTTTGTTAGTTTTGTGGCACGTGGGGATTGTCAAAATAGATCAGATAAAAAATAATCCCAGAGCTAAACATTTCCAGAGGGCTGGTAACGTTCAGATTACTTTATTGTGCCCTCATTTTTTCCTTTCTGTGTTCTCTCTCATTTTGGGTTTTCTCACAGAAGAAAAATAGAAAATTCTGAGGTTCTCATAAAACAAAACAATAGTTCCCAAACCTGCTGAATGTACTTGGAATTTCAAAAAGCATACTCTCAAAAGTGTTTGTAGTCAGGTTGTCAGAGTCACAGTATTTGGATTTTACCTGATGGTTTCATAAGTAGACACATTTCTCAGTATTTCTCTAAACTGTATTTTTTGAGATGTGTGTAATGTTTCCTCTAAGGAAATATTTTGAGCCCAGACTCGTGGACCAATGAGTCCCATGTGGAGAAGACACCCAGTGTGGCTGGGCATTCAGTCCCTGTTGAACGGGGCTGTTCCAGGCTGTGAGAAATGGAAGGAGCTGGGGAATGGATAATCCTTACAGAGTCTGGAAGCAGGCTGCATGGTGGATTCAGCCGAGGTAAGAGCTAGATGTCAAGAAGCCTGCTAAGAAGTTGGCTGGGGACCATGCATCTGGAGCACTCTCAAGGATGTGGCAATCCCTAGAAAGGCTGAGCTCTGCCTTCCATCATTAACAACAGCCACAAAGGACAGTATCTGGTAGAAATAGCTCTCTCACACAGGATAAAAGCATAGCAGATTTTGAGTGCTAGTGAACTGCGGGGGAGGAGGGGAAGAGTAACAATTCCAATAGTTTTTTGTTGAATATTCCTGTGTGGCTTTGCACTAATTAAAAACACCACTTTTGTCGTGATAAGTCAGTAAAGTGGGTAACCAATGTCTAAGCAGTTAATGAGTTTGACAAGTTCAAACCCTGAGTGTGACTTTTCATAAAGATTTCAATTTACAGTTGCTCTAATTTATTCTGAAATTTTGCGTAGGGACTCCTAGATTAACTGAAGTGCTTTGCTGTGCCAGCAGAGCTGCCCGTTTTAGGACTGTCTCTCCAGGCTTTTCAAGAAATGTGTTTATAGCCATACCATTTTTCTAACTATACAGACAAATCT